GCAGGGAGCTGGATGGGAACTGGGACCTCTGGGACATGAACGGGTGCCCATATGGTATCCTGGTGCATGCAAGGCAAGGACTTTAGCCAGCTCTGTCTCTCTTAAGAAAACTAAACACAAGAGACCACATCCTATTTAATTAACTTTATATAAATGACCTGAAGGGGAGAATCCATTCAGACAGAAAGTAAATCCATGGGGTTTCTAGGGCTTGGGAGTTTGGGGAGAAGAGAGGAGTGGGGAGGGTCTGCTGATGTTTCTTTTTGGGGTTATGGAAATGCTGCACAGTTAGACAATGGTGACAACTACATGACCTTGTGAATACATTAAATACTACAGTATTATATAGTTTAAATGGGTGATTTTTAAGATATATAAATTATGTCCATAAAAAAATTACTAAATAAAAACAAAAACAGTGTGGATGGCAATACACGTGTGAGAACTACAAAGCTTCATTCTCTAAAGTTTCCAGGCCCCTGCGATGCCTGTAAATGTACTGAATGAACATTTCTCAAGTGGCACCAAAACAGTCCCCAGAGCAGCGGGCTTTCCATAAACTGTGAAACCTGAGCCTGCGTCTCTGTGTGCAGCTGGACCAGCTCTGCACCCTGCAAGCAGTGTGAAGGCCAGGGAAGGAAGAGCCCAGAGAACTTCAGTTCACACCAGCCATCCCAGCACTGGCGAGTCTGGCCTGGAGGTTCAGGAAACACCCACTGTGCTTACACAGACCTGGGAGGCAGCAGCCTCTCTCTGGGGAAGAGCCATGCTTTACAAGAAGGATGGGAAAGCTCATAAATACCACTTCAAATCTGTAACTCAAATCCAAAGCACAAACTCAGAAAGCCGGCCTGTTCTCACAGCTGGTCAATTCACTAGCTCAGTTCTTCTCTTTTAAGGCCTCCGAAGCCCGTACACTCCAAATTACAGTTATGCCCTGCCCACTGCCCCACAGTGGCTGTGAAGCAGCCTGCCTGTCCGACGGTGTGCAGTCTGTGCCAATGTCCCTGTGCCCGACACAGATGAAAGCCAAGTCTATCTTTCCTACGTACCTGCACAAACTTGGCTTCTCCACCTTGTTCCCTCCTACATCAAACATGGAAGTTTTTCATCCTCAACCCTCTACATTGGCCTCTGTGGGTCACTGTGTATGTTACCCACTTAGTTACTGTTTGCAGCCTGGAAGTGCATGATATAACGAGGTGGCATGGGGAAGGCTCACTCACCAAGCTCGCCTCACCCTCCCCTCCCTGGCCTCTCTGTAGACCAAGAACAAGCTGGCTCCCCCAACGCCTTGTTCTGGGGCCGGTGGGGAAGGCAAGTAGCTTGGCGGAGCCATCTAGTTCAAAATGCAGACTGCGACCCACCTCAAGGACAGACGTGCTCCCGCCAATGCAGGTACTCTTGGTGCGATCCATGTCCCTCCTATAGCCGGACCTCACCAGGCTGCAGCCCCTCCAACCTCGAGTGTGCTCCCCAAACCTTCCAAACCCTTTCATTTGCCATGGCCCCTGACATTTGCCATCCTCTGTGCATGGGACGCTGTGCACTGCTGGCTCCCTTTAGGCCCCCAAAATCTCTGTGCACAGCTCCCACCCTGAAGATGTCTAACCACTCACTCCAGTTGTCACCTGATCACCCCCAATCACTATCTCCCCGCCCCCCCGCCATCCTCACAGCATTCACCACCCTCTGACATCTTATTCATGTATTCATTTTCTCACTGTCCTTGAACACCATCATTTCCAAGTTCCTGGCAGAGCATGGAGGAAGCATTCAAATATTTGTTCATTAAATAAATGTGTAACGAAACACACATTGCTAACTTACGGCCTCCTTAAAATCTCCGAACTGGTCATAAAATTTCCTAGTGTAATGCTATAAACACACCTCATGACTGAGCTGCTTCCTTACGGCAAGAGAGCGTGAGACTTCCTGTTCAGTTCTTACACCATCCTTGTTCTCAATGCGGTACGGGGGATCAGGGGGTCCTTCAAATGCAACTTTCAGGATTTGCCCCAGTTCTGGTTCAGATCAAAGGCTACAACCACACAGGCCTGACCTCTGAGGTCCTCGGCATGTTAAGTCGCTCGTTAAGTATGCGCGGTTGGTCACAGACAGCTACCAGGAGGTAGACCTGTCCTCACAGGTCTGCAGAAGACCAAGAGGCAAGAATGTCAGCAAGAATGTTGTTCTGCTCAAGTCAAACCTCACGTCACTTCCTTCCCCTGCTACACACTCCCAGAAAGCAAGGGAGTCACTGTGCATCGAGCACCTTGCAGGTTCAGCTGTGGTCTCTGGAAAAGCAGAATGTGAGCGGAACTTCTGGAAGAAGGGCCATTCCCCAAAGGCTTTACTTCCAGTAGAGCTATTTCCAGCCGCGGCTTTTACCTCCACTCTCAACCACACACAGGCCTCATCCCAAGCAGCTTTTGTCCATAACCAGCTACGTGCCTTGGAGGGGCCAGGAGGCAGCCTGCAGGCAGGCAGTGAAGGCTCACCCCCTTCCACGAGGCTCACTGAAACGCTGGGAGACCCGAGTCCCAGCATCACCTAACTCCAGGGCATTGGCATCTTTGCAAGTGGGTCTCACAAAGTTGCATCACACGGTTCTCCCGTCCCATCCAGGGGTTCTTAGGAGGTCACAAAGTTTGAGAACCAATAGGATCTAAGATCTCTACTGAGAAACCAGACAGGAGGAATGGGGTGGATCAAGGGCTGCAGGTGAGGGGAGTGGCAGCCAAGAGGGGTGGGCACTGGGGGTAGCTGAGGTTGAAGACGAGGACAGCGTTTGGGTTGGGAGCTTGGCTCAGTGACGAGGCTTCATCCTCCGACAACTCAGGGTGTTGGGGAGGCCGGGAAGAGGGGGAGAGGAGAATGCGGAAAGCATGGAGAGTTCTAGGGAGGCGTCCGAGCACAGAGGTGATGGGGTGGGGACCAAAACAGGAATGGATGCAGGCAGAGGCAGTAGACAAGGATTCCCTCCGAAACGGCGCCTCGCTCCAAAACTCGGGGCCTCACGGTAGGGTCCAGCCTGAGGAGGAAGATCTGGGGGGGAGGGGGAACAGCCCCAGCTAGGGGCAACGTGAGCCAGGGGTCCCGGAGGTGACTCGGGGACAGGCACGGGGTGCCGGAAGGTCCTGAGATACCCTGAAAGGCCCCGCTCCAGCTCCGGCTCCCGGAGTCTCCTTCACTCACCATCGCCGGCGCCATCTTGGATCCACGTGTCGCCGTGATGACGTCGGCGGAAGTGGTGCTCCCTTGGTTACGGAGTTTAACTCGGTGAGGTTGTCATCTCCCGGTTTCGGTCGCGGCTAGCGGAGGGGTGAGTAAAAGGCAGCACCTGGTAAACAGTGTGACGTGGAGGTCAGGTGGCTGATTAGGTGAAAAGAGAGGTCTGTGTAACTAAGGGAGCCATGTTAGCTCCTGGCAAAAACTAAGCCTCCCTATGCCCACTGCATTATGGGCAATAGGGGTGTGTGGAAACGCGCTCCCGCTGCGGGCGCCATCTTTACTAATGGCAGGACGACCGGTTGCTAGGGTTACCTGCGGCTTTGATTTGGACAAATGGGATGGGTCTCTGGGCTCCAACAGCCGCCCTATTCCGAGGGTTATTTGTAATTATATATTTAATTCTTTACTTGACTATTGGGTGTGCTAATGCACTGTAATCCCTATGAGGGCAGGACGTTGTCTTTTATTTAACCTTGCTCTGCCTTACTTTTATCTGCCAAGTGGGAAGGGAGTTTTTATAGTATTATCAATACAGGATTACAGTGAGAAATCAATAACGTAGGAGGTACATCCAGTAACCAAGGATGAATACATAGGATTTATTCAGTAAGTCATTGTCACTGAATGTAAATTTGTAAATCTGCCTTTCCAATAAAAAATGAATAAATGTTAAAAAAAAAAAAAAAAAGAAAGAAAGATGAGCCTGGTGGCATGGCCTAGTGGCTAAAGTCCTCCCCTTGAATGCGCCAGGATCCCATTATGGGTGCCGGTTCTAATCCTGGCTGTTCAACTTCCCATCCAGCTCTCTGCTTGTGGCCTGGGAAAGCAGTCGAGGATGGCCCAAAGCCTTGGGACCCTGCATCCATGTGGGAGACCAGGAAGAAGTTCCTGGCTCCAAATCGGCTCAGCTCCAGTTGTTGCAGTCACTTGGGGAGTGAACCATAGGATGGAAGATCTTTCTCTGTCTCTCCTCCTCTCTGTATATATATCTGACTTTGCAATTAAAAAAAAAAAATCTTTGAAAAAAAAAAAAACCTATGGTTTGCGCTGCTATTTTACACACACACACACACACACACACAAATGATAAAGCTCTTTTAAAAAGATTTATTTTTATTGGCAGATTTATAGAGAGAAGGAAAGACAGAGAGAAGGATCTTCCATCCATTGGTTCACTCCCCAAATAGCTGCAACAGCCAGAGCTGAGCTGATCTGAAGCCAGGAGTCAGGAGCCTCTTCTGGGTCTCCTGTGTGGATTTAGGGTCCCAAGGCTTTGGGCCATCCTCCTCTGCCTTCCCAAGCCACAAGCAGGGAACTGAATGGGAAGCTGAATGCAAACCAGTACCCTTATGGGATTCTGGCACTTTGCAAGGGGAGGATTAGCCACTGAGCCATTGCATGGGACCTAAGTTTCTTTCTTCTTTTCTTTTTCTTTTTTTTTAAGATGTATTTATTTTTATTGGAAAGGCAGATATACAGAGAGGAGGAGACAGAGAGGAAGATCCTCCACCCGATGGCTCCCCAAATGACCGCAACGGCCATTACTACGCCGATCCGAAGCCAGGAGCCAGGAACTCCTCTGAGTCTTCCACGTGGCTATAAAATCCCAAGGCCTTGGGCTGTCCTCGACTGCTTTCCCAGGCTACAGGCAGGGAGCTGGATGGGAAGTTGAACAGCTGGGATATGAACTGTATGGGATCTTAGTGTGTGTAAGGCAAGGATTTAACTGCTGAGGCATTGTACTGGACCCAAATTATCCTTTTTTAAAAAAAGTTTTATTTATTTATTTGAAAGGCAGAGTGGCAGAAAGAAAAGACAAAACAGAGATCTACCCACCCCCTCCTTGTCTTCTCTTTCCTCTTCCTCTACCAATAGCTCCCCGTGTACAGGAACCAGTATCTCTCAGCAGCCACCTCTCCAGACTCCAGCATTCTTGCAAATGGTGGAGGCCACCATAATCATCATGACAGCAACTTGGCAATGGGAAATGCCAGGTTTCAGGCAGCCCCTGACCCTATGGGAGATCAAGCCCAACCAACCCGCATAGCGATGTGGCCTTGGAAAGAGAATTGGAATCTTGGATTCTGAGAAATTATTGTTTGCTTCCTGGCAGGTGCAGCCACCAGATACCAGGGAGATTGGCCAACTCCTGTGTCCCCTAAGATGTGTCTGTCCCTACACCCGAGTAGCTACAGAAACGTCTCCTTGTGTGGACAAAGGAAATTTGCCAGTGTGATCAAGGATCTTGGAGATGGAAAGATGATTCTGGGTGATTCAAGGCGGGTCCAAAACAATGCCAGGGATCCTCACAAGTTACGGCAGGAAGAGGGGCAGTCAGCATCCGAGGGAATGTTCCCAGGGAAGTGTGGAGTCAGGTGCACAGGGAACAGGGCGTCAGGGATGTGAGCGGCCTCCAGGCACAGGGAGAAATGAAGTTTCCAGAAGGAGGCAGGCCCTTGGCCCCGCAGGAGGGTGTGTGTGCTGTTTCAAGCCAACAAGTGTGTGGTCATCGTTACAGCTTCCTTCCAACCCCAGTGCAACAGTGACTATTTTGGGCCAGGGAGAAAACTCAGGGCATTGAACTGCTCTGCCTCTCCTCACACATCAGACCGAGATTTCTAACTCATACAGCAAGAAAGCAAGCCGATCCTCAGGCACTTCAATAACAGGCAACCATACCTGTCATTTAAATACTTATTTCATGACTTTCAACAGTTCCCATCCCACCCCTAGCTGGAAGAGGAATCCACCTGTCCTGGTTAATGGAAGTACTATTTTGGGGTTTCCTGAGAATGGCAGGGCATGACTTGCTCGAGTCAAAAGACATTGTCCAGTCCAACTGTGCATGTGGACACTGGAGTGGGGCAGAGTGACTGGGCCTGGGGCAGGAGAGCAGGCCCTGGTGGAGGCTGCTGGGGGAGAGAGGGGGCACCTGCTGGGGCCTGCATGGCTGCCTGACTTGGCCCTGGCCCACCCGTCATGGCTGCTGCTGGTATTGGCTCTCCGTGGCCGTGTAGAAGTCATCCAGCACACTCTGGATGTATTCGAAGGTGGGCCGTTCCTCTGGGCGGTTCTTCCAGCAGCGTGTCATGATGCTGTAGAGCTCCTCGGGGCAGTTCTCCGGTCGCGGCATCCGGTACCCTTGTTCCAGTGCCCGGATCACCTCGGGGTTCGACATCCCTGAGAATGAGTTGGGTAGTGGGGAAAGGGAAGGCTTGAGAAACAGGGCCAAGTGTAGGCAGACATTTTGGTTGCTCCAGCAGCCATCCCTCCCCGCTTCCTGCAAGCTGAGCTCCTCCCACCGGGAAGACCCCCAGCCAGCCTTGCAGCTTATGGCATGGCCATGGACCCCCTGTTTCAGCCAGTGGGAGCAGAAGGGAGAAGTATGCTGGGAGGCCTCCTGGCAAGGTTTTCCTCCCTGGATCGAAGGAGAAGTTTTGGAGGACCTGCACACATTCCCTTCCTCGCTTCCTCTGACACTAACAGGATGGCACAATCCTGGGAGGTGCAGCTATCATCTGACCGCAGGGGGAAGATAATCAGAGAAATTAGTCCGGAGCCCCGATCACCATTGAGCCACTAAACCTAGCAGCTACAGTGCCAAACTCCATGTGGCGGGGAACAACTTGTCTGCATTGTCTTCATTCTCAGGCTGTTGTTTTGTTACAGCCTGATGCATCCAAATGATTAAGGCTTCTAAGCCACTGCCTGGCTTTTACCCCACAGTCAGGTAGCCTTACTCTGTGTCACATTATGGGTGGGACCATTTCCCTGCCCATTATAAGTTTCTATCAACTTATCCTTAAGAATAACCACCATGATCCCAAACTGTAGATGATGAGCCTTGCATGCCAAATTTATGATCCAGTGTTCCGGCAGATATTTTTACTTTATGTGTGTAAATCACCTCAAATAGCACAGGGCTTAAGCAAACCTTAAAGTTCCACTCCCAGACCATTGCCCAGGGGAAGCCAAGATAATCTGGTTTCTCTCTCCCTTGCCTCCTGCAGGAGCAAGTCTGTTTCTTGTTTGAAGGATCACACCGCCTCACATCTGCCACTGTAGCACTGTATCCAGGCTATTGGCATCTCTGTCTGGGTCCTGGCTGCAGCTCTCCGCTTGCCTTCCATGCACTTTCCTTGGGCATGGAGACAGGTGTTGTAGAACAGTCAGTGAAGCTGCCACCTGCGAACTGGTGTTTCATGTGGGTCCCAGTTCGTGCTGCAGCCACTCTGCTTCCAACCCAGCTCCCTGCTAATGTGCAGCGGAGGATGACTCAAGTGTTTGGACCCCTGAATGCACATGGGAGACCTGGAAGAAGCTCCTGGATCCTCAGTTTGGCCTCTCTGTAACTCTGCCTTTCAAATAAAAAAAGTTAAAGATTTATTTAATTTTATTAGAAAGGAAGATTTATGGAGAGGAGAGACAGAAAGATCTTTCATCTGCTGGTTCACGCCCCAAGTGGAAAGGCAGATTTGACAGAGGGAAGAAGAGACAGAAAGCTCTTTAGGCAGAGCTGAGCTGATCCAAAGGCAGGAGCCAGGAGCTTCTCAGGTCTCTCAAGCAGGTACAGGATCCCAAGGCTTTGGGCCATTCTCCACTGCTTTCCCAGACCACAGCAGGGAGCTGGATGGGAGGTAGAGGATTAGCCAATCAATCCAGTGTTCCAGGCCCCAAATAAAATTTTTTAAAAATCTCTATTAAGTTAAAAAAGTGGCAACTGCATGATGCTGGCTGCTTCCTCACCCAATTTGTTGCACAGATTTCCTGCGTGGTTAGGCCAGCATCCCCACTCTGCTCCTTGACCATTGGCCCTGCTCACCATGTCATCTGTCATCTGCCCTCATTCCTTGCCTCTGGCCACATTAGCTTCCCCACCGCTATGCCCTACAAGCTGGCAGTGCCATCTACCTGGAAGCCTCTCTCCAAATAGTCACTCGGCTTTCGCTTGTCACAACCTGCTCTGAAGGGTGCCCTGTCTACCAGAGCTCCCTGCCACTCCCTCTCACAGCCCCTCAGCAGTGGTCTCCATCTGACAGAGCTTGTCCAGTAAGTGTGTCTTCCCCTGCCTTATGAACAGGTGCACTGAACGTGTAGAGACCCTGTCTCATTGCACCCACCGTGTGCAGCACACAGTAGGAACTCTGTAAATACTTCTGAATGAATCCAGTGTCTGCATCTGTTACTTCCAAAGTCTCTGTGCAAGGCATATATCACTCCCTGTATTCTTTTCACAGGTGGAGACACTGGGGGTAGGAGGAGTGAAGTGAGTTGGTCATAGTTTAATAGCTAATGAGAGAGGATTTACATTCAATACTATTTATATAAAAAAAATCAGAGGCTCTTTAAGTCAGTGTTGCCTCTCTCCCAGGGTTCTGACCATGGGTACTCCAAGACACTCAAGTGGGAAGAGGAACATGGTGTTGGGTGCATCTCTGAATAGCCTCATGGTCAGCTCAAAATGGGGTACTGCTCATCGGCAAGAGGGTGCAAGAGGGTGCAAACAGCCATTCAACAAGTGACATGCCAAACACAGAGGTAGGCCCAGCAGATTCTTGAGTGAGGAATAGAGACCTGGTTTCTGGTCCCATGGAGCATAGAGTCTGATAGAGAAAATCTGAAGCAGATACATAGTTATCAAGTGTGATGGGTGCTACCCATGAAACAACATAGGCTTTTCAGGAGAGAACCACTGGGCAGGAGTGTGAAGCTCTGGGTGATTGGGGAATAGCCACAGAAATGAGGTCCCATACCACCTTCAGGGCATATGAGGAGTTTAGGATTTTAATCTAATTGTGATGGAAGATCAGTCAAGAGAAGTGGAGAAGCAGCAAGACCTGATTCACGGTGTAGAAAACCCGTCTGGGTGCAAGTGGAGAATAGACCACAGGAGAGAGGGCGGAGAAAGCAGTGCAGCTGCTATGGAGGCCGGGCACCAGCCCTGTGAGAGCAGAAGCCATGCGGTGACAAGGGGGCAGACTTGGGAGATGTTTGGGAGTTGAGCAGCCAAGCACTTTGGAACTTCTTGAATGTGGTAAAAGATGAGAGTGAAGAAAGGGCCAGGGAAACCTCCAGGCTTCATGGTAGTGTCCCTGAGATGGGTGCGTCGAGGCAGGCTGGGGTGCAAACCAGGAGCTCCCCCCTGAACGGGATGTGATGATGAGAGGGAGCCACCCGTAAATGCCACCGGACTCACCTGGGTAAGGGATGCGGCCGTAGGTGACAATCTCTGTCAGCAGGATGCCGAAGGACCAGACGTCTGACTTGATGGTGAAAGAGCCAAAGTTGATGGCTTCCGGAGCTGTCCACTTGATGGGGAACTTGGCCCCTGTGGGGTGGGACAGAGCAGAGCTGGGGTGAGGGGTGTGCAGAGTGGTCAGGCCTGGCTCCCTGCTAGGGTGAGGGAATGGCGCCACGCGGCCCCTGCAGAGCTGCAGCTTCCCGCAGTGGGGGCTCTTGCTGGAAGCCAGGCCCCAACCACACTGAGGAGAACCGGCCGAGGTCCCTGTGGGGAAGGCCCAGGGCTGTGGCAGTGGCATGGGAGCTGACTCCGGGAACCACCTCACTAGCTCCACTGCTTCCCTAGGCAGCTCTAACCCCCAGGAGTAGAGTTCCCGAACTCAGAGACTTGGGGAGCAGAAGGCCCCTGGGGGCCTGGAGTCCAGCTCACAGACTGTGTCTTGGTCCTCTTAACTCTAGCAATGCAGAAGGGAGTATGTAGACTCCTGGCCACTGAAAGGAGCAGGTGCCTCTGCTTCCCTCCCGCCCAGGCTTGTCTGCAAAGGCTTAGTTAGCTGTTGGTTAGTGTTCCTGTTAACTTCATGATGGTTGCCAGCATTGTCTGCAGGACATAGGAGCGTGGCAACGTGATGAGACCTTGGCAGTTGACGCAAGGTCCAGCTGTAAAGGTGCCCTGGGTGTGGGTTTTTCTCTTTCCCTTTCCTCCCTTTGGATCTAGAGACTTTTCTTTATATCCTGCGTGTCCTCTGATGTACTCCACACCTTTGCTTTGTGTGTGTATGTGTGTGTGTGTGTGTGTGTGTGTGTGTGTGTGTGTGGTTTAAATCCTTAGTTTTAAATTTTTCATGGAGTCATAAACTTGAAATAGAGTGCGCAGATGGTTAACGTACAACCTGATGTCCCTGCAGATACACCTGTGTCCCTGGAGGCCCGTCTGACCAAGAGCCAGAGCATCCGCAGCTCTGCAGAAGGCAGCGCCCTGCTCCCGCTCGCTCGGCGCCTCCTCACCCAGGCAACCATTGTGCTAACCCCTACAGTTAGAAATGACGTCTGGTTCCCCATCTGCATTATTGACATAGAATTCACAGGCCATACAGCTCACCCATTCAAAGGGCACATTTCAATGGATTTTAGAATGTCCATGAAGTTGAGAACTTTAGAATATTTTTTCCCATTCCCTCCACTAGCGCCCAGAGCAGTTTCCCCTCGTTTCTCCCCAACATCCCATCCCAGCCTGAGGCAACCACTGATGGACTTTCTATGTATTTACACTTGCCTGTACTGGACATTTCATGGAAAGAGAGCCATACAACCTGCACCTGGCTTTCTCAGCAGCTGATTTATGTTGGGTCTGGATCAGTACTTGGTTCTATTTTATTGTTGAAAAATATTCCTTTGTACCACATTTTGTTTAATTGTTCATCAGTAGCTGGACATTGGGTCATCCCCAGTTTTAGCCTATGATGAATAATACTGCTAAAGATTTTGAGATACAGAGAAAAAGAGACACAGGAAGATCACACACACACACATACACATATATGTTTGTGTGTTTTCAAAACATTTCAGAGGGGGCCTGGTGCAATAGCCTAGTGGCTAAAGTACTTGGATCCCACATGGGCACTGGTTCATATCCCTGCTCTTCCACTTCCCATCCAGCTCCCTGTTTGTGGCCTGGGAAAGCAGTCATGGATGGCCCAAAGCCTTGAGACCCTGCATCCATGTGGGAGACCTGGAGGAAGTTTCTGGCTCCTGGCTTCAGATCAGCTCAGCTCTGGACATTGTGGCCACTTGGAGAGTTAATCAGCGGATGGAAGATCTTCCTGTGTCTCTTTTTCTCTGTAAATCTGCCTTTTCATTAAAATAAAAACATCTTTTAAAATTTGTTTTCAGAGGGAGAGAGTGCATGTACTTCCTCAATCTCTGATTTACTACAGAAGGAGGACATGGGAGGGTGTGAGCGTACGAGTGTGTATGTCCGCTTGTATTTGCTTCCCAAATGTTAGCAACAGTCAGAGCTGGGCCAGGTCAAAGCCAGGAGCCAGAAACTCCTTCCAGGCCTCACCGGCCATCTCCCTGCGTGGGTGAGCAGGAAGCTGCAGTCAGGAGCGCTAGCGGGACTCACTCCCAGGCGCTCCGGTGCGGGACAGGGGTCTCCCGACCGACTGCTGCACTGCCAGGCCACATGCCTGTTCCGTCTGCTTTGGAGTGTCAGACACATGGAACTGTCCAGCGTCTGTTCCCTTCTGTCCAGCTCCCTTCGTGATGTCGTCCTGTTGGTGGCAGGCATCCATCCAGTATGTGCTTTCTCACTGCCGCGTGAGCCAACCATAGCCATGTCCATCTGACTGTCTCTGGATTCTTGGATTCTTTCCAGTTTTTGCCTGTTACAAAGCCGCTCTGCCTTCACTGCCACACACCCACCCTCCTCGACCTGGTCTCAGATTTCCAGGTGAGATTCTGAGGTCTCTGCCCTCACCCAGACCTGGGCATCTTCCCAGCCCCTCTCATGAGTATCCATTCTCCACTCTCCCAGTCCGCCAGCAGGTGCACGGACCCACCAGGCAGCCTCCCCTACCTTCGCGAGCTGTGTACTCGTTGTCCTCGATGACCCGTGCCAGGCCGAAGTCGGCAATCTTACACACCAGGGATGCAGAGACTAAGATGTTGGCAGCTCGGAGGTCTCGGTGGATGTAGTTCCTCTGCTCGATGTAGGCCATGCCCTCTGCAATCTGCACCCGAAACAGACACCCTACTCCTCAGACCTGACCCAGCCCAAGCTACTTCCCGCAAGCCTGGGGCTCAGACTGCCATTTCTCTGGTCATCTAGGTTAGTGAGGAGGGGGCTTCTCGAGAATTCTAGAGCTCCTGGAAAGCACTTTGAAATGTTCTCGAGGAAGAAAGCAACAAGATTATTTCTCCAAGACTTTTATATATACACACACCCCAGTATGCTAATGAAGAGCCTTCATCCCCACTCCTCTTTCTCAGGACAGACTAGCTTCATGCCCCACTCTGCTGTATCTCTTAGATTTTCTTCATCCCCAAGTCTGGGCAGGAAAAATTCATCCACTCATTCATCCTACACTCAGTGTCCTGTGAGGGCAAGGCATGTTACCCAAACAGGTGCAGAGCCAGGGAAAGCCCTTGCAGGTAGCAGGTAGCACTAGCACCAGCATGGGGAGACAAGGCAGTGTCTGAAGCAAGAGGGCTGTCTGGGCTGGGCGCTCAAGGAGGCTACTTGGAGAAGGGGAGATTTGAACCAAGACTGGAATGACTGAGGAGGTTTCCTGATTGCACCACAAGAGTATTGTGAATGTCACACTTGCATCATCCGTAGATCCCCAGTCTAGAACCATGTGCGGCCTCTGAGTCTCCCAGAACTGCAGGGCTCTGGAGGATTGCAACTGGGCGCAAGCTTTACAAGATGATTTAGGAGGTGTGTGTGTGGTGGGTGGGGAGGATGGGGGACTTATCTGATGAGCCCAAACCCGGGCTGCCTGCTCCAGGTGGGAGGTGTGATGCACTTGCAGGGAGTGGACAGCAGGCGGCACCCAAGGTAATTGGAATCCAGATCCAAGCTTTTCTCTGAGACTTTTTTATAAGGAGTCGGTTAACTAATGTAAGGAAGTGATGGCAGGGCTAGTAGCTTATTTATATAACCCACACCTGTGCTTCACAGTATCGAAACCCATGTTTTAGGAATAACTCTGGTGGTCAAAAGAAATAGTATGCAGTGGTCACCTGTGCAACGGCAGGTGTGGTCCAGTTCCCTCCCTGATGAATGGGGAGACCAAAGCCCAGAGTAGGTCACAGGTCAACTGCCCATTGGCGACAGGGCTAGGCCCCCTCCCACTGCACTGGAGGTGAGACCCAAGCCCCAGGCCCACCCTGCTGCGGGTGTTGTGACACCCTTTGTTTTCTCGCTTCGGACTTATGCACAGGCTGTATCCTCTGCCTATAGCACCTCCTCTGTCCTCCTCCTTCTGGGAGGACTTCTCTGATTGCCCCTGGGCCAGGATAAAACTTGTAGTGAGTGGAGGATGGGAGAAAAAAATGGGTTTTCAAGAAGTGTTTCTGTGATCTGTGTACTTTATTCCCTTTGGTGGTTATTGTGCTATTTGGAGAAAGAGAAAGCTGTTCCATCTGATGGTTCACTCTGCAGACGCCGGCAACAGCTGGGATTGGGCCAGAAGCCCAGAACTCCTTCTGGTTCTCCCACATGGTGTCAGGGACCAAAGCACCGACCCCTTATCTGCTGCCTCTCACAACACATGAACAGGAAGTTGGAGCAGAAGCTGAGCAGTTGGGACTCGAACTGACACTCCAGTATGGAGTGTGGCCACTTGGGTCATCACTCTCTAAGAGAGCTGGACAGTCAACTCCATGAGGACAGCAACACTTCCCATCTCACTCACGGCTGTATTCCCCGTAATTAGTGCAACAAGGTAGGCAAGCTCACTAGACCTGATTCCTCATCTGGAGTTTATACCTCCATTTCCTATTCTGTTACTGGGATAACAGTTACCCAGCTATGGCCAGACTGTGATGAACCAGGCTGATGCCGGACTAGGTCATGTGAACCTGATCACTGTGCTCTAAAGGCTATCTGGATGGACTGTTTTCCCTCCTCCCTTTTTATTTGAAAGCTTCCATCTGCAAGCTCACTGCACAGATGCCTGCACCAGACAGGGCTAGGCTAAGTGAAAGCCAGAAGCCCAGACCATTTTAAACTCCTGAGCTTTGGGATACAGAATTCGTTACAGACGAACAGCTCACAGAGATCCCGCTCTGGAGGGTTGGCGTGAGGATTAAACAAATCATTATGTACAAAGTCGATGCAAAAGCGTGTATTCACACTGAGCGCTTCGTGCCTGCTCTGCATGATGACTGTTGGCAGTACAGTGTGCGGCGGGCGCCTGCCCGGGGGATTTATCACCACTCCGCCCCACCCCTCACCCTCCCCTCACCCAGCTTCCTCTCCAGCTCTCACCTGGGCTGCAAAGTCGATGAGCTTTGGCAAGGGCTGCTGGCTGCCCTCTGTGGTCTTCAGAAAGTCCAGCAGGCTCCCTGCAGGGGAGAGGCGGGCAAGGGTTACCACTCCTTTATTTTTATTGGAAAGTCAGATTTACACAGAAAAGGAGACACAGATCTTCCATCACGGGTTTACTCCCCAAGTTTCCGCAACAGCTGGAGCTGAGCCAATCCAAAGCCAGGAGCCTCTTCTGGGTCTCCCTCACGGATGTAGGGTCCCAATACCCTGGGACTTCCTCGACTGCTTTCCCAGGCCACGAGCAGGGAGCTGGATGGGAAGCAGGGCTGCCAGGACATGAACCAGCACCCATACGGAATCCAAGCGCATGCAAGGCGAAGACTTGCAGTGACTAGGTTATTGCACCAGGCCTTTTTTTTTTTTTTTTTTTAGATTTTATTTATTTATTTGAAAGGCAGAGTGACTGAGAGAGAAGGAGAGAGGAGGGAGAGCAAGTGTTGAGTCAGGTAGAAACGGGGAACCAGGAACTGCATTTGGTTTTCCCCTGTGGTTCTCAACTAGCCGAGCCATGGCCTGCTGCCCCCCAGGGTTTGCACTGGCAGGAAGCTGAACTGGAAACGGAGTTGCTGGAACTCCAACCACCATCTGCTGTGTTACAGCACAGGTCCCCTCCCCCACACTTCAGTGTGAGCTTACAAGGAATAAAGTTTTGTAACAGTGTCTCCCAGGACCCATGTTTGGTGCAGCCACGTGGCTGCATCCGAAGGCCTGGCTTTGAGTCCCAGCTCAGCTCCCAGTCCCAGCGTTCGGCTAACGTGCAAGCTGGGAGGCAGGAGGTGATGTCTCAGCGCTTGGGCCCCTGCCCCCCACGTGGGAGACCCGAATCGATTTCCCAACTCCTGACCAGTGCAGACATTTGGGGCATGAATCAGTAGGTGTGAGATCCCTGTGTGCCTCTCCACCTTCTAAACAGATAGAGCAAATACATCTCAAAAACCAGCAATGTTACTCCCGCATTCCCAGCATTGGAGAAATGGAGTTGGAGGGTTTACTTTTCATGAGGTTTTTGCTTGCGGCACAGGGGTCACTGGATGGGCCAGCCTCCTGAGCCTGTGGGATTGGGACCGTGGCTTTCTAAGGTTGACAGAACCGGACCTAGCACAGTTTTTCAGTGGCTAAATCCTTGCCTTACACATGCTGGGATCCCATATGGGCACTGGTTTGTGTCCCAGCTGCTCTGCTTCCCATCCAGCTTCCTGCTTGTGGCTTGGAAAGGCAGTTGAGGACAGCACAAAGCCTTGGGACCCTGCACCCATGTGGGCGACCCGGAAGAAGCTTCTGGTTCCTGGCTTTGGATTGGCTGAGCTCCAGCCATGGTGGCCATTTGGGGAGTAAACCAGCAGATGGAGGATTTTTCTCTCTTTTTCTCCTTCTCTGTAAATATGACTTTCCAATCAAAATAAATAAATCTTTTTTTAAAAAGCTGACAAAATTGTGTGCAGAGTTGGCTCTCCCGATCCATGGTCTCCAGCTCTGTGGGTTCAGTCAGCCACAGATGAAGAACATTTATAAAAGCTGTGTGTGGGATCCGACGCAATAGCCTAGTGACTAAAGTTCTTGCCTTGCATGCACTGTGATCCCATATAGGTGCTGGTTTGTATCTTGGCTGTTCCACTTCCCATCCAGCTCCCTGCTTGTGGCCTGGGAAAGCAGTCGAGGATGGCCCAGAGCTTTGGGACCCTGTGCCTGCCTGGGAGACCCGGAGAGGCTCCTGCTCCTGGCTTCAGATCAGTGTAGTTCCAGCCATTGCGGCCACTTGGGGAGTGAATCAGTGGACAGAGGATCTTCCTTTCTGTCTCTCCTCCTTTCTGTATGTCTGACTTTCCAACAAAAATAAATAAATCTTTGAAAAAAAAAAACTCGTGTGTCCTGAATATGCCCCGAGTTTTTCCCTCGTGGCCATTGCCTCACTGATATGGTGTATCAGCTGTATACGTGGCTGGCGTATCATGCCACTGTGCATTAAAGGTCACCCCGAGACACGTTCAGGTGTGCAGAGGCACATGTGTGGGTCACAGGCAGGTGGCTGCCGCAGTCCAGTATGTGGAGGAATTGAGCACGTTGGGGCTTGCTCTCCACCCCAGCTGAGAAGGAGGGGTTCCCAGGGCCGATTGCATTTGGAATGTGTGAAAAAGTTTTGAGATTTCAAATCACACGGCATGAGACTGTGTTGTGGCATGCATCCATTTGCCCAAAAAACGGGCTTAGGTTGAAAGCAACTGCGAATGGGGGCCTCGAATGATTCCCAAATTGTGCTGAATTGTGGTGGGGGTAGGGTGGCCTAGACCTGCTGCTTTGGCAACAGTCCCAGAGCACTGGTGCCCCAGGAGAGGAGGCGGGTTCCCTGCTACACTCCCTGGCCACGAAAGCGCCTGGGGAACCATGAGGAGCCCAGCAGCCTCTCCCTTCTCACTCGGTGTGTGTGTCAGGGGACCCCCTTGTCCTGGTGGCTCCCTGTGTTCCCTTCCCTAGGGGCCCCCTTGGCCTGATGTCACCCTGTCCCCACAGCAAGGCTGCATTGTTGCAAAGTGCAGTGTTTAGTGGATCCTTCCCAGAGGAGCTCCTGGCCACACTGGAGGCAGCTCGAAGGCAAGAAACACAGCAAAGATGGACAGACCAGTCCCCAGCCCCAGCCCCTTTACCTTTGGCCATGAACTCCGTGATGATGTAGATGGGCTCCTGCGTGACCACAGCATACAGCTTCACCAGCTTGTCATGCTGCAACGTCTTCATCAGGTTGGCCTCCGCCAGGAAGGCCTCCACCGACATGCTCCCCGGCTTCATTGTCTTCACCGCCACCTTGGTGTGCTTGTTGTAGATGGCTGGAGTGGCCCGGGGAGCAAGCAAAGAGGGTGAGCCCAGTAGTCCTCCTCCCACAGCCCTGCCTCCCCCAGGAAGCCTTCCCTGCCCATCTCAGTCCTTCGAGAGGGCAGGGCAGGCATGGCCTTGGCTCAGGCAGGTGTGGGCTGAAAGGCTGGTTTGCTGCTTCCTGCCTGTGTGCACCCTTGGGTGTGTCCTTTAGCCTTTCTGAGCGCTCCCTCTGAAGGGCTGCTGCAGGATTGAAAGATGACCTCAGAGCACCGTTTGGGCCACTCCCACCCCTTTGATCTTGCAAGGGCAGGGTCAGTAGATGAGGTGGACAAATGGGCAAAGCCAGGTCTTGCAGGACCTCAATAGTGAGTGTCAGCAGCAGTGTGAAGAGCAAGGGGCTTCAGCCCGGCTCAGCCCTGGCTGTTGCAGGCATTCAAGGAGTGAACCCATGGATGGGAGATCTGTCTCTCTCTCTGCCTTTTTATCAAGCTGAACTGTTGACATCTCCAGAAGCGATGTCTCTATTTCCGTTTGGACCCAATGGAGCAAAAACAGAGCGGGGAGCACAGGTTGCCAGGCCTCACATCTGCCCCACAGCGCTGTGAAGTTGACCTTGCTGGTCTTCGAGCGATTGGGGGGAGGCCAGAAGGTGTGGGATATGCCTTTTTCCTGCCCCACTGTGTACTGGCATGGCACTGGCACATGGCAGGGCTTGGAGCTGCCAGTTCCTAATTTACTCAGAAGTCTCTAGGTAGTTGTTCCCCCTCTGGGTACTCAGCATTGCCAGGGGCTTCGCCTTACCTCACCCTGCAGAGCTGTTCCAACCCCATATGCAAGGCAGGGGTCCTCGTCCAGGACTTGGGCTTCCCAGAGGGACACCTGACCCCAGCCAGCCTGGCCTTCAATGCGAACCGGGGTCAGCGCACAGGGGTTTGCTGTGGGGATCCCCCAAAGCTGGCATTCAGCCTGCCCCCTCTGCCCGGCGTGGCCTTGCCCTGCTTCACTATGGCCCGTGCTGCCCCTCCACCATCGGGCCCTGTGTCCTCACCCATCCAGACGTCCCCGAACTGCCCCGCTCCGAGTTTCTTCTCCAGCTTGAGGGACTCCCGGGGGATCTCCCAGGCATCCTTCTCCCACGGCTTCTGTGGCTTCGCAGACACACAGGGCACTGACAGCTGCTGGCACAGCCCGTCTCTCCCTTCTGCAACAGCACCCCCACCCTGGGGTCAGCTGAGGCAGCCAGCTCCCAGCCTGCAGGAGGCTCTCCCTACAGAGGCCGCCTGCCTGTCCCCTCCCTGCCACCATCAGGAGGCCTTCCTGGGGAAACAGGCATATGGCCTCTGCCCCGGTCCATCTCCCCACTCCCATTCACAGCCCTAAGCCCGCTGGAAAAACCAAAGCAATCCTTGAGCCAGAAAGCCGGGCGGGCAGCTGGCTTAGCAGGGCCTGGGGGCCGAGGGCCCACGGGGCATGGGTGCACTCACTCTGATAGTGGGCCACCAACTCCTGCAGGGTGCTGAAGGTGGTCCGCGGGGAGACGTAGAAGCCCCCGTTGTCCAGGGTGCGGATCTTGTAGTGCTTCACTGTGTCCCCGTGCTGGGGGTCGTAGTCCCGTATGGACAGAGAGTAGCTCCCTGCATCAGACCGGAAGGAAACACTTCAGAATGGCTCCTGCCCCTTTGCGTGAGTTCCTAGACATCCCTGCCCGATGCTACTGCCCCCAGCAGGGCATCCAGGCAGGAGCGCAGGTGGTGGCTGTGGCTGGGCAGTCAGGCTCCTGGGTTTGCATCCAGGCGCACCTGCGGGGCTGTAGGCACGTGACTGTATCACCTCTCTGTGCCTCAGGGACCTCATCTGTAGAGTAGAAATAGCAACTGTCACGCCTCCACACCTCATCATATCCCGTGGTCATCGGAAGATACAATCACAAGCGTATAAGATACCTGGGACCTAAATACTCAGTAAATGATAGCTACCGCCATTGTCTTTTCCATTGTTTAGTACTGATATCGTTACCTAACAAAAAAAAATCCAAGATACCATACAAGTTTGGTACGAAGTCAGACTACTCAGAAACAAATACGAACAGTCCAATCCGGTTACTGAAATGTGCACGTGTCGTGGCTGGCTGAGAGGCCCAATGCCCTACACCATGGAACCCGCGAATACTTGAGTGACTGCCCTCTGTAAGAAAAGCACTTTGCAGATGGCATTGGGGATCTGGAGATGGACAAGTAGCTCATACAGGTGGCCCTAATGGCCCGAAAGGGCAGGGTGTGTGGAGGTGGACGTGTCCGAGGTGCACGGCTGGAAATGTCAGGAAGGGGCTGCAGCCAGGGAGCGCAGGAGGGCCCCAGAGGCTGCGCTCTGGAGGCTGGGGCAGCGAGCGATGGGGGCCTCGGTTTTGCTGTTGTGTTGTGCATCCTTGGGCATGGTACCCGCCCTCTCTGCCCCTCAGTCTTCTCCATTGCACTAACAAATGTTGCTGGCTTTGGGAGAGGTTTCAGCTGTCCAATGAATAACAGGCCAGGCACCATCCTAAGCACCTTGGCAAATGGGCCGTGCAGTGGGTAGACTTAATATCGACTCCAGTGAATTAGAGACTGTATGGGTTGTCTTGCTTTCCTCTCTTCTGCCACTGTGTCCCAGGCCAGGGGAGGTCGATGCGGCTGACGGCCGGCAGGGGGCGAGGGGGCGAGAATACAGGAAGCAGCAGGGTGGGATCAAGGGGCCTGGCAGTGCACGTGCTGTTAGATTGGCAGAGGGCACAGGAGCCAGGCCGGCCCATGTCCCTACCACATGAGCCTGCCATGTTCTCACTGGCTCCCTCCACCCACACCCTCTGTAGGCTGGACCAGCCCTGGACTGTCTGTACAGCTTCCCTTTTTTTTTTTTGTCTCATTTCTTTCCCCCTGGGGTCTTGCTGGGTGGGAGGAAGTAGAGCCTGAGGATTCACTGATCTGCAGCACCCAGCTGGGAGCGGCAATGTCCCTGCCACACTCAGCCCCCACCACATCAGAGGGCTGGGGGTCGAGTCAAAGGCCACAGAGAAGCTGCTGTTAACCAGCGTCCCCCAAACCACGTACTGTGAGGTCACACTGCACGAGGTGCCTGAGTTAAATATGGAAGATCTCTATCTTCGTCTCCCCCTCTCTCTGTAACTCTGCTTTTCAAATAAATGAGTCAGAGAGAGAGAGAGAGAAATCGCAAGAAGCCCACTGAGGGGCCCTGCCCGGGACAGCTGGCCTCAGCTGATGCCCATGTGCGCTGTGCTGCCCTTGGGTGCTGTTCTTGCCTCCCATGCAGCCACCCAGTATGTAGCCTGCAGGAGCACTGTGGGTGCTGGCTGTGTCTCCTCCTGCAGCCTCACCCTGCCCCGAGGGAGGGAGAGAGGAGTCAGGCTTATGGACAAGAGCTGTGCTGAAGGATTTTTTTCTTTTTTTAATGACTCAGTTGTTAAATCTTTCCCGTGAATGCACCGGTATCCCATATGGGCACTAGTTCGTGTCCCAGTTGCTCCATTTCGCATCCAGCTTCCTGCTTATGGCCTAGGAAAGCTGTCGAGGACAGCCTAAAGCCTTGGTAACCTGAACCCACGTAGGAAACATGGAAGAAGCTCCTGGCCCCTAGCTTTGGATCAGCTCAGCTCCAGCCGTTGAGGCAGATGGAAGATGTTTCTGTCTCCTTCTCTCTATCCTTTCCAATAAACATAAATCTTTAAAAAAGAAAAAAGGCATCTAGATAAAACCCAACCTCAGCAAGCCCACCAGGCACACGGGATGGCTTTTGTTATCCTGTGGGGCTGAGGACCAGCACAGGGGCCGAGAAGGGGCCTTTCCTGGCACAGAACCTCAAGAGCTGGGGGTCAGAAGGGGTGGACAGGTGTCACCTTTGGTGGTCTCGCTGTCCCGGATCATGAAGGAGCCCAGCATGTTGCCTGGAGCCAGCAGGTGGCGCTCTGCATCCTTGCGACTTGTGCCCTTGAAGAACCACCTGTTTGGGGGAGCATAGGCAGTTAATGGGCAGCTGAGGCAGGACACTTGTGATCACTCAAGGGCCCAGGCCACAGTCAGGACACGGAGGGCCTGGCTTCTGGAATCATATTCATTTAACTCTAAGTGCTGGGAGAGAGAGCCACCCCTTTGCTAGCAAAACATGTATTTTTAGCAGGGGCACCTCTAGTTTGCAGAGTAGGACACCCTCACAGATCAAGAGGCAGGCTGTCCTGAAGACGAGCAACACGGCATCACAAAGGGGAGGAGGACAGACAGGCAGCAGGTGGAGCTGTGGACACTGTAGCCAAATGCCGAAAACTTAGTGGCTTCACACACACACACACACACACACACACACACACACACACACACACACTCGACAGAAGGATACATTGCAAGGCCTCAGAGGCCCCCTGGGAGTGCCAGCTGGCTCCATTAGCCTCAGGATCAATCCCTCTCACCCCACACACTTGGATAACAAGTTGGCATAAATTTCAGCTAAAATGCGAAACTGCAAAGAATTTTGAGTTTGGGGGTGAGGATGGTGGGTGCTTGGTGTGGCTGTCAAGCTGCTGCTTGGTCTAGAGTGCTTGGTTCCAGTCTCAGCTCCACTTCCAATCCATCTTCTTGCCAGCATGCCCGCGGTCCCTGCTGCCCATGGCGGGGCGGGGGGGGATGGGTGGGGGGAGACCCGGATTGAGCCCCAGGCTCCTGAGCTTCAGCATGGTCTTGCCGTGGCTGTTGCAGGCATTTGGTGGGGGGTAGGTAGGAAGTGGTGAATTAGCAGATGAAAGATCTTTCTCTTGCCTCCCTCCCAGCCTCTCTGTCTTCAAATAAAATAAAAATGAATAACTTAAAAAATATTTTTTGAAAGAATTTAATACTTGGGGCCATCTCCTGGGAACATCCCTTCCTTCTTTGTGGAACCTTGGCATATGAAGCAGAAAACTCAAACCACAGGAGCAGAGTCCACCCCCGGCCTCACGTGGGCAAGGAGCAGCTCATGTCGTGCTGTGATGAAAAAAAAGCCAGAGACCCAAGGTCAGCAGCTTGACGTTCCCCCGCTGTGTGACTCTGAGCAAGATCTGTCTCAGGCCGCTGTTCCCTCCACAGTCAACAAGAGGGAGCGACAGCAGATAAGTCATCAGGATCTTGTTAGTCCCCTCAACCACAAGATGGAATCAGCGCCCTTGTTTAGTCCCATTTTACAGATGAGAAAACGGAGAACAGAGAGAGGCAGGTACACAGCTGGGAGGTTGTAGATGCAGGATTCAGTTGCAGCCCAAGCTCTTACAGAGCTGTGTTGCACACCCACCTTCCCTGCTCGGGCATCTTCAGCTGATTCATGCTATGGAAAATATTCAGTGGTGCAAACGTAGCACTTCACAGTTTTTGGCGGAGCCAGCTTTGGCCTAGTGGCTGCTGCGCCTGTCGGGAGACCCGCGTGCCATGTCGACGTGCCTGGGTTTGGCTTGTGGCTCCTGACTCCAGCTTTCTGCTAAGACAGAGTCTGCGAGGCAATAATTCCTCGGCTCCTGGCTTCAGATCCTGTCCTGGCCATTGCGGCATTCGGGGAGTAAACCAGTGGCTGGGAACTTTCTCAGTTACATTCTTCCTGTTCACTAGTTCTCTCAAATCAATAAATAAAAATTTTAAAATTCATTCAGAAAATTGCAGGGAAAAAAATGGAATGAAAATACAAACTTATTTTGGAGCAAAGTAAAAAAAAAAAAACTAACCCATGCATAGTTTTTCCATAATGCACCTTTTTCATGTACTTTTTAAAGACCCCTCCTCATTGCCACCATACAAGGACTGCTGTCACCCTGGAAATCCAATCCTGCAGGAAATAAGTTATCCTACAGGCCTCGCACAGGAAGAAACAACGTGTACAGAAGGAGGTTCCTGCTGAAGCAAGCACCAGGGAGTATGGCTGTATGCACAGTGGGGCATCTCCAGGCCTGACATAAGGGAAGCCCTCAGCTCTTGACTCCACATTCCTCTACGTCGTTAGCATTAGGGGACACTCAAAAATATCATCTATTTCAGGATGGGGCAGGAGGAAGGACAAGTCCATTCCCTGCTGGTCCCCAGCATCCCAAGGACCAGTTCTGTTAGCAGCCGGGTCTTGATGCAGACACAAGAAGCTGTGTGTTCACTACCAGGACTGGTGACATGTGTCCCAGCCAGCCGGTCCCAGGCTGGGGACCTGGACCAGCTGCCTCTCCTAGGGACAACTCAGGAGCGCCCATTCTCCCATCCAAGTACATCCGACCCTGCTTAGCTTCCTAGATCAGACGAGATCGGGTACGTTCAGGGTGGTATGGCCGTAGAAAGGAGTGTCCATTCTCCATCAGCGACTTCACCAGCTCCCCTGGGACGCCGACCCCTGTTGGGTCTGAGAACCGCAGGAAGAGTGTGCCAGGTAGGGTGTGCTGGGCAGGGTGTGCCAAGGCCCCGAAATGCGAATGACGCTGGTTCTCCCTGTGCTTCTGGGAGCAGGAGATGGAATACTCACTCCTCTGTCTCCAGCGAGTTCACGCGGGCCACATAGTTGCTGGGGATGTAACCCTCTTTCCGAGTGGCCAGGGACCGAGCCTTCCACCACTCTCCAGACCTGTGGGGCAGGAGGAAGAGCTGGGCTCAGGGGCAGAAGGAACACTCCAGTTCCAAGCCTGGGCCCAGAAAGCCACCCCCTCAGCCCAGTAGGAAGCCACTGGGGTGAGGGGTGGGGCCACGACTTTCCCCAGCCCCCAACCTGTGCCCCACCACTAGGGCAAGGGCTCAGCATCCACCTCTCCCCACCTCCCCCACAAGGATCAGCAGTCAAGCCCTGATTTCCGGTTCTTTTCCCTGACTTTGCACCTTTGGCCTTTCCCGCCAAACCCAGGGCAGGACCTTGTACCCATGGGAGGCCCAGGGTATAGCTGACCTCTGCAATGGGAGGAGGTGGGCACAAGGACCAAGCATGTCCTCTTGGACACCAAACCACTCACTGATGGTGAGGGCTGTGGGAAACTGGAAGTGGCCAGCTCAAGAGAGAGCCAAAACTTTCTGACTGTGAAGTCACTTGGGGAGTACCTAGTGCCCATGTCACTGTGACATGGAACCCTGGGGAAGGCTCCTCTGAGACAGTGCTCCAGCCATCCCTCTCTGCCTGGATGGGTACCACTGGCACCTGTGCAATGCCTTTACTCTGGCACTCCTCCAGCTCAGCCAGCAAGCCCTTCCTCCTCTATGGTGGTTGGCTTCCCACTGGACGTTTTACACCCAGGGTGAGACAGACAGCCCTTTGGGCTCCCTGTGAGAGAGCACAGTGGAGCATCAGTGGTGGCAGTGGGGTGGTGGGGTGGGGCGGGGGAACTCACTCCTCCAGGACCACGAGCTTGTCTCCCTTCTGGAAGCTGAGGTCTTCACGGTGGATGGCTTCATAATCATACAAGGCAACCACAATGATGTCCTCACAACCTGGTGGCAAGGGACACACACATAAGATGGTGGGCCCACAACATCTGCAGCATCTGGCACCTTGCGCGGGACCCACTGTGCATGCATGCGGAAGGCTTTCCCATGCTGAGTGTGTGTGTGGTGGGGAGAGTCACTGTGTGTGTTCCAGGGACCCCCGCCTTAGAGCTCACAGTAGCAGGTTAGGCAGTTTCCAAGGCTGCTTGTGGCTGTTCAGAATTTCTGTCTCTGTCTAGGACCGAGAACTGAACCGACAGTCCAACAGCTGTGTGACCCCTTGGCTCCGGGTACTTACCTACCGCAGGCCCCAGGGAGTTGCTCTGGTAGTTGCTGGATCCCTGTAGGGAAGAAATGGGAGCAGGGAATGAATCTGGTTGCAGGAAAAACCATGGAAGGTCTTTGCTGACTAGAAAACCCAAGAGCATCCTTACCCCTGTTCAGTAAATCCTGGGAGAAGACCGCAACAGGGCAGGAATGTGCTTGAGGTGGCATGGCATATTAAGCACAGAAACAGCCTGAGCATCTAGGTGGCTGTTAGTGTGGCATCCCCACCCCCACCCCTCCGTTCCTTCCCAGCAGAGACAGGCGAGAACTCCACTTGCTGGTTCACTCCTCAGACACCTGCACTAGCCAGGCGCCAGAAAGTCAGTCTCAGTCTCAGGTCCCTGGTCCCCCTGGAGGGTGGGTGGCAGCGCCAAGACCTGAGCCCCACCTTCTAGGGTCTGAGCCCCACCTTCCAGGGTCTGCACTAGCAAGGAGCTGAGACCTCTGATGTGAAATGTGGTCTCTTTTTAACTGGCATTGGAGCCACTAAGCCAGACCCCCATTCCAGGGTCCTATTTCCGAAGTTGTGGCCCCACTGCTTTTGGCCTGGGAGATCCTGGGAGTGCACTGGCTTGACTCTTCTCCTTGACCTATGGTGGGAGGGTTGGTCCAGACTGGTGTTTCCAGAGGTATGTTTGAAGAAATCATGGGTCCACCCACATGAGCTGCGAATAGAGACTCCATTCTGTATGTGAATGAATCAAAGTGTCCACGCAGAGAGAAGCAGCTCTGAGCAGCTGCTAAAAGGGGGGCGGAAGCTCGTTCACATTAACACCTCGACCCCAACGGTGCAGCACTGGATGAAGACAGACTCCTGTGCAGAACGATAAACTCACCCATTCATGTGAAACATGTACACACATGCCCCAAGTATCCCCATGGATGTGTCCTAGATCATGTAAATCTAAATTCAGGGAGAAAGGTTTGCAAGGATCCACACCAGACTGACAAGGGACGCCTTGGGAGGAAGGAAGCATGGTCAATAGATACCGTAGCTTTAACTGCTGGTTCACTCCCAAAATGCCAGCCAAAGCTAGGGGCCTATAATTTAGTTGGATCTCCCGTGTGGGTGGCAGGGACCCAAGTCTTGGATCCTCCCAGGGTCAGCATTAGCAGGAAACTGGAGGCAGGAGCTGGAGCTCGGAATGGAATCCAGGTTCTCTCTCTCTCTCTCTTTTTTTTTTTTTGTTATGGGAAAATGTAGCACAGCATTTTATTTTGAACTTCTCTTTGAAATGCTTTCCAGTTTGCAGAAATGGTACAAGAATAAAATGAACACCAGTGCACTTCACCATTAGCTCTGTAAATAAATCTCTTTTAAAAAAAAACAACATATTTACAGAGAGGAGAGACAGAGAGAAAGATCTTCCATCTGTTGGCTTACTCCCCAAGTGGCTGCAATGGCCGGAGCTGAGCCAATCTGAAGCCAGGAGCCAAAGGCGAGGATTAGATATTCAAACCATTGTGCAGGGCCCAAAACAAACAAGCAAACAAACAAACAAATTTATATAAAATATAATTATATTATAATATAAAAACAAACATATAGTATCTTACAATATAATATATGATATATTAATTATAATATAATTTTAATATATATATCCAGTGTGATAGCATAGTGGCTAAATGATTACATTCATTGGGATCCCATATGGGCACTGGTTCGTGTCTCAGCTGCTTCACTCCCCTTCCAACTCTCTGCTTGTGGCCTGGGAAAGCAGTACAGCACGACCCAAAGTCTTGGGACCCTGCACCTGCTTGGGAGACCCGGAAGAAGCTTTTGGCTTCTGGCTTTTGGATTGGCTCAGCTCTGCCTGAAGATCTTTCTGTCTCTCCTTCCCTCTGTGAAATCTGCCTTCCCAATAATAATAATAAATCTTAAAATGAAATACAAACACAAAGGAATTCTACTGGTATGACTGCCCATTCTATCACTATTCTTGCTGTGTCGCTGATGCTGCTGAGCAGGATGCACACAGTGCTGTGGTCTACTGCCGTTAGCTTCTCCTGGTGGGAGTTCTTACTGAAGTTGTGACTGAGTTTTCACCATGAGGCCAATATCACCATTATAGCTGTGATTTCAGCTGCCTGGACACTCCCCACACTTGGCTGGAGGCTCGCGATGCTTCCCAAGCCCAGGCCGGAAGAGCCCAGGCTGATGGGCCCAGAAAGTCCGGGCTGCAGGTAGGACAAGGGAAAGTGACTTCATGGCTCTAGAAGGATCCTGGGGGCATAGGCTGGAGCATGTGGGCCCTGCTGCTGGCCCCTGTGCATCCTGCCCAGCTGGGGGAGGCAGGAGGCTGGAAAGCGACACTGGGGCAGCACCAGAGCAGCCATGAGAACACGCAGGCTCCTCCCCACTCACCGGCTTACTGGAGGTCATGGGATCTGGCACGTACATGGTGGTGTGTGGGCCGGCGCAGGGCTCAGTCTTGGAGATCTTGCCTTCATCCCGGAAGAACCTGGATCTCACACATCCCATCCTGTAGCAGACAGATGGGAGAAGAACCTGGATCCCACACATCCCATCCTGCAGAAGGGAGGTGAGCCTTGGCCACCCAGACCCCCACACAGCGGCGTCCTCTGATGCCCGCACATATGTCAGGCACCTTAGCCCCAGGCTAGTGCCCACTTGCCTTCTCTGACTTAACTCCCTCTGTCAGCCCCTTTCCCAGAGCTTATGCACCCTACCCTCTCCACACTTCCCCACATCCATGCTAGCCACGGGGCTGGCCCAGGGCTGGCAAACTGGTGTGGGGTGGTGAGAAGAGGAGGCAAAAAGTAGGCAGAAGAAGCTCCTGGCTCCTGAGCGGCCCAGTTCTGGCCATTGTGGCTACTTGGAGAAAGAACCAGCGCATGGAAAATTCTGTCTCTCTTCCTCTCACTAACTGTACCTTTCAAACAAACAAAGCAACACAAATATTTAAAAAAAAAATAAATGAGTAAGGAAAATATGTTTGCCGGGTCGGAGCCGAACCGCACTGAGATTTCTGCAGGAGGAATTCCTGTCTGTCCTCCAGATGTGCACAGGTGCCTGCGCTGGCAGGGAGGCAGGGTCAGAGCAGCCAGATACAGCATGGCTGCCCCCCTTTCTCTCTGCACCTGACCATCTCTCTGCTCCTAAGGCAGCTAGAACTTGGCTATACATGACTTGTTTCCGCAGGGCAGGTGTTAAGCTGCTGCTTGGGATGCCCGTATCCCCTATAGGGCCGTGCCTGGTCCAGGTCCTGGCTGCCATGCTTGTGGTTCAGCTTCCTGCTAGTGCAGTCCTGGGAAGACAGAGGAGGACGGTTCTAGGATCTGAGTCCCCGACACCCTCATGAGAAATCTAGATGCAGCTCTAGGCTCCTGGCCCTCTCACTCATTTCCTTCTCTCACACACACTTTTGAGAAAGGTGCATTCCATTTCTGGGGAAGCTAAGCAGCACCTTGTGTGGTTTTATATGATGTAAGATTATATCACATTTCATATGTTTGATTGGGAGTTTGGTGTCACGATGTAGGGGGTTAAGCCATAGCCTGCAACACTGGCATTCCATATGGGAGCATCAATTCAAGTCCCGCCTGACCTGCTTCTGATCCAGACCCTTGCTGATGTGCCTGGGAAGGCAGAAAAGATGGCTCAGGTGGTTGGACCCCTGACACCCGTGTGGGAGATCCAGGTGGGGTTCCTGACTTGGCTTCAGCCTGACTCAGCGCCAACCTTTGCAGCCACTGGGAAAGTGAATCAACGGATAGAAGCTCTCTCTCCATACCCCTCTTTCTTTCAAATAAAAGAGATTATAATACATACATATTTAATCAATGCTAATGTGTTCAGAAGAGCATTGCTGTGTGCCGTGGGGCAGCTTCATCTACCGCGTCACAATTTCCCATCCCCACACACGGGGCACCTGTGTAGTGTCCGTTGCTGAATCCCCACATTCAGAATGGCCTAGTGGGCTGAGACACCAAGCACCCAGCACACAGAAAGCACTACATCAGCGTTCACCAAAACCATGTCTGTTTCTGTGAGCTCAGTAATCAATGTGTTTATTTGACAGAGAAACATAGAGAGAGCTCCCATCCACTGATTCACTCCCCAAATGCCCACAGTGGCTTCAGTCGGGCCAGACTGGAGCCAGATGCTGGGAACTCAATCTAGGTCTTTCACTTGCACTGGGGATCTAGTTATCTGAGCCTTCACTACTCAAATTGAAACCAGGGAATCGAAACCAAGTCCTCTGGTAGAGGGGTTTGAGCATCTTAACCGTCCTAGCTACTAGGTCACAGCCTGCCCACACATGTTTTATTTTGTTTTATCATAAATCTTCAACTGTGTATTTTACACATGCGGCACCTGGCAGTTATGACTCGCTGAGGGGGCTTAACAGCAGTGCGTGGCACCTAGTTTCCGAATCAGGCAATGCAGACATACAACAGCCCCATCATCGCTGACGAGGAAGGCTGTTTTGTTCATGTCTGTGGCCCTTGGTGCTTGCCAGGAGCACAGCGGGAGAGCTGTGCATGGTGAGGGAGTGATGGCACGTCCAGCCTGCCATTCTGGGAAGTGGAAACATCAGGATGTGATCTGTGCTTCAGGGACCAACTGGAGAAGGGAAGGTTGTTGTGCAGAACTGCCTCCCAATGCCGCATGCACAAAGGCTCTTAGAGACCAAGTGGGATGGTGAAGAGCCAGGGTCGTGGCGCAGCGAGCCGAGCAACCACCTGCAAGGCCAACATCCAATCCTGGAGCACCAGCTCAAGTCCTGGCTGCCCCACTTCTGATCCAGTTCCCTGCTAATGCGCCTGAGAAAGCACCAAAGACGGCCCAAGTACATGAGTCTCTGCTACCCATACGAGAGGCCCAGATGTAGTTCCAGGCACCTGGTTTTGCATGGATTAACCCTGGCTGTTGTGATCATTTGGGAAACAAACCACGCATGGACGCTCTCTCTCTGTGTCATTCTCTCCTTCAGACAAATAAATATATCTATATTAAAGAAAGTAGAGTATGGTTGTTAGAGTCGGGAGTATGGATGTTGGGTTTCCATGTGACAAGGTGGGAGGAGTTACAGAGGTAGATGGTGGTGGTGACAGGTGCACAGGACTAGTTCCTGACAACGCCATGGAACCATACCTCCACAATGGTCACTATGGTGCTCTTTATGTCATTTGTGTTTTATCATCATAAAAGATTGGGAAAAAAAAACTAAAAGGGAGTGGTAAAGGTGATGGGAGTAAGCCACAAATACTGTCAACTCATTTTTATAAGATGAATAGATCTGTGGAAAATGGATTTAAAAGAGAAATTAATTTTGGTACAAAAATCTTGAAATCCATGTTAGTACGTTCACAGACAAAGCAACTTGCTTGTTACAATAATTGAGCAAAAGAATAAGAAGTTTGAAGAACGGAGTCTACTGATAAAGATGAAAGTCAAGAGTAGTCCAGGAATAGATTTCCTAAAAAGGATTTAAAGGAGCTAAAAATCTCAAGCCACAGACAGAACCCTACCAATCAGAAAGGAGCCACTATTGAACCACAAACCCAGCTGCTGCTAGACTCATCTCTGAGCTTCCTAGCAGCAAAGTTAAAAATGAAAACTTAGGGCCCGGCACCATGGCCTAGTCCTTGCCTTGAACACCCCAGGATCCCGTATGGGCACCGGTTTTAATCCTGGCAGCCCCTCTTCCCATCCAGCTCCCTGTTTGTGGCCTGGGAAAGCAGTGAATGATGGCCCAAGGTCTTGGGATCCTATACCCATATTGGAGACCTGGAGGAGCCTCCTGGCTCCTGGCTTTGATTGGTTCACCTCCAGCCATTGTGGTCACTTGGGGAGTGAACCATTGGACGGAAGCTCTTCCTCTGCCTCTCCTCCTCTCTGTGTATCTGCTTGTTCAATTTAAAAAAATGGAAACTTGTACACTGGCCCCATAAGATCTCAGGAAACATGGCACGTTATTGAGAGAAATAAATGCCTTAAAATATTTTAAAAATTTGTTTTCATCAGAAAGGCAGATTTACGGAAAGAGAGACAAAGAGAAAGATCTTTCATCCATTTTGGTTCACTTTCCAAATGGCTGCAATGGATTGGCTGTGCCAATCCAAAGCCAAGAGCCAGGAGCTTCCTGTGGGTCTACCATACAGGTGCAGGATTCCAAGGACCTGGGCCACCGTCCTCTGCTCTCCCAGGCCATAGGCAGGGAGCTGGATTGGAAGTGGAACAGTTGGGACACAAATGAGCACCCATACGGGATACCAGTGCTTGCAGGTGGAGGATTAACCACTTAAGCCATTGCGTTGGTTCCACAATGCCATTTTGATCACTAAATCCAAAAGCGGGTTTACTACCTGTACCCTCACACTGCCAGGCTTGACAATTTCTCCCGCCGTGACTCAGCAATCGAGTCTACAAAATGTCGGGGAATAATTCCAAAGCAGATGATGAGGAAGTACAGCTGGGTCAGGGAGCTGTGGTCTAGAATAAGGGGTGAGGAGATGATAGAGGAGGTTCACGCAGCTCCCCGCCTCTGTGCAGCAAGTGCTGTGACGGTGACAGTGGCTTCAGGTGAGCCCCAGGGAGCCTCAGGGGGTGGCCTCACGGGGGCGCTCTCGGGAGGACAGGGTCGCACGTCCCAGGCAGGGATGCGTGTTTTGTTCAGATCTTGGGGTGTGCTTTCCACTTTCTTGCCTCCTCAGCGTCCGTCCTCCTTTGGACAACAGCTCCTTGGTATCCTTTGGGGAGATCGGCCTTTGGCCACCCTTGTCTGCCTGGATTGGCAACTTAACACAGGCTTGGCTGATCAAAGTGTCCCGGGCAAGTCCATCCCCTCTCCCCCTGGTTGTGGAGACTGCTTCAGCTGGGGGCAAGCACCATGTGTAACCGTGCCCAGGCATGCAGAATCTGTATCCTGGCATGTTGAAGAATGGGAACCTGGAGCTGCTGGGAGCCTTCATGATATCGTGCAGGCAGGAGATTGCTTGAAAGCAAGGCCAGCACAGAGCTGAGGGCTGGAGACCTCAAGGTCCTGAGGACATGTGTGAAGACCGGGATCCAGCTGTGCCTGAAGCTTTTCACCCCAGACTTCATGAATAGATACATTCTCACCTTTGCCTCAGTCAGTTTGAATTGAATTTCTGCTACGTGCACCCAAGGATTCTTCACTGATTTCTTATGTATTCCTGAGACCCAGTCCAGACTGAACAAACCAGCATCTCTGGGAGTCAGGACCTAGAATCTGCACTCCTAATGGTTTGGCAGGAAATCCTCTGCACCCCAGAATTTGAGACACTCCTCTAACCTTCTGTCAGAATACTCTCACTTGGGGACCTGGTCCTGCCACCTGCCCAAGGTCCCGCTGTGGGGTCCTCTGGGAGGGTTCGTCTCTTTCCTGCAAGAGGAGATGGGGCCTGCTCTGGCCCGACCCTGGGACCTGTGTGACACGGGATGTGAAAGACTTTTCGAAACCTCTGCACACACATCCCTGTCCAATGCAGTTCG